GGCCGAGGCCGAGGATCGTGAGCCAAACTTCGCCGGCATCCCGAACCAGACGCAAGTCATCTCTCGCTTTGCTCGCTTGTCGGCGTTGCGGCTCATTGTCAATCCACTGCAGGGCGAAGCCCTCGCCGCAACTGCCGGTCAAGTTCAGGTCAGTGGAGGTGAGGCTTGGAGATATCGCTCGCTGCTAAAGGCTTGCCGTGGAACGGGGATTGAACTCACGTGGGCCAGGTTCGCAAGGCGGAATCGGAATATTGATTTATTGCTGGAGGAATCCGATGAGCTGTAAAGTTATTTTTCGCAGATGTCCAGTACGGGGCACGGGGTCAGAACGTCACAACAACAAACAAAACAAAAACAGCAATAGGAGTGCAAGGTACAGGAAAGGCATTGTATTTTAATTTTACCAGGTAAAGCGCACTGAGCTATTGGCTTCTTTTTTTAGGAACAACCTGGTCACAAATGACAGCGTAACAAAGTGGCGCATCGCGTGGAAATTTATGGCCGCCAAATAATCATCAGAACAATAATCTAATCACGCGTTTCTAAGTCTGGCAATGCCGCTAACCGCCTGCGCGACCACTTCACGTCACCCGTTTGTCATAACGCATTAGACAATGGCACAATTCACTCTGAGGTGGCCCTTATTCTCCGTTTTAGCTTCGCGAGCGGCGTCATTAACAAGACGCGGGGGTTTTTATTTTATTTTTCCCTTCCCTTGACATCGTCGTATCTCGATTGCTCGCGCTCTCTCTCTCTCCCACTTTGTTTCTGCGTCTTGTTTTGGATGCCATAAAGAAAATGAAAGCGAATAAAGCAACTCATTCGTTTAATGTAACCTCATTTGCGCGGGCTCCAATCAACGTAATGATAACCGCGCAAATAAAGAGGGCGACGCGCGCTAGGATTAGGCTCTCTCAATCGACAGGACGAACGCAATCGTCAGATTAATTACGTTACGCTATGGATTAATTGTGTCCGCCCCCCCCTCCGCCCCCCCACCACTTCCCCCTCATTCTCCCCGCGTCTAATCGTGCTGGAGCGGGCCGATATCGACGAACGTGGCGCAAGCAAAACCAAACCGGGGCAACCGTCAGAAGAGGTCAGAGGTCAACAAAAACAATCGTTTGGTCTTGTGAGAATTCTTGAGCAGAACTCGGGAGATTACGACTGACGCCCTCTCGATCGGCGTATTCACACTGCTCGCACTTTAACGACTCATTAACTTCTCATTAAATACTTGGCTCCAAATGTAGCCAACTATCTCCATCCGTGAATGGGCTCCGTGACATTTATCTAACGTTGACCATATTTTCTGGTTGACTTTTTTTCTGCATGGAAGACGCTTCATGAACAAAACATCAGTTGTGATTTATCTGCTGCTGGACGAAAGCCTCGCCCCAACAAAACCACCACCACCTCTCTCGGCCCTACGATGCAACAATCCCCTCGCCAGACGTCCCTCTCAGGCAAGCTCTCTCCTTCCGGCTGCTACCCCTTGCTCAGTCTCAGCCACTGAGCACTGTCCCTTCTAGCGAAGTGTTCTCCGTAAGCGCGCTTTGGCATTTCTTAACATAAAAAGCTCTCGCAAGCCAAAAGCAGACTAAATCGTTCAAAAACGACGGCGATGATTAATGTCGATAACTCCAAAAACACAGAAATGGTCACAAGGCTCCAGTGAGCCTCCGCTTCTCACCGGGGGTGGTTGAGTCGGTAATGGCCCTAAGTTGGAAATCTTTACCTACCGCAGTAATAGTCATAATTGCGCAAAACCGTTTTTTTTAAGGAAAGTAATTTTTTAAATTGCTCCCCTTCCCCGCCTGCCATATTCTGTACCCACCCCCACCACCACCCCCACCCACCCCCCCTCCCACCACCACCTCCACCCACCCTCCCCCCCCACCACCCCTACCACCACCGCCAGCACAGCCCCTGCCGCCCGCTTCCCCTCCCGCCACGGCCTGTTTTTGTACGCCGGCTAATTGTACATATGTTGAGCTGATACGGCTCCCAGCACGAAGAGAGCAACGAACTTGACTGTTTAATGATCAGCCAGGGGACCCTTCTCAGGCGCGTCCCGACGGGGCCCACGTCTACTTAACAACTGCGCGCACACGCAGGGAATATCTCTATCTTTATCCCACGCCCCCCGCTTCCACCATTGTGCTCGCCCCCTCTCCGCATTAAATTATATATTTTTTTACACTTTTCTCACCGACACCTTCCATTGCAGCAAAATTTCAAAGCGGACGTTTTGGGCAGAAATATGTAAATGTAAGCGCGGCGGTGGCGGCAGCGGTTGCGGTCGCAGGGGCGGCGGGCGCGCCTACCCGCGTTGGCTCGAATTACAGCCCGTTACCGTTCGCGCCAGCCGTGAACGTCGGCCTTTGTGCTTTTTTTCTTCCCGAAATGATTTTTCTAACCCTCCCCCGCCGCTGTTGGCCGCGTGCCCCGTTTACCAGAAAATCAATACGAGCGCCGGATTTTACGTTCAAAATTTGATAGAAGGCCGAGGAAATCGCAGAGCACTTATTTAAGTTCCGCTAAAAAAACGGTTGTTCGGCTCTGCGCACGCACCACCGCTCGCTCTTCCCCCCCCCCCCCCCCCCCCCCCACCAGCCGCTTGCTTTCTCCGCGGACGCGAGCACGCGAAACCGAAGGGTGGGGGGGAGGCTCCGAGGCTCCGGCGTGCCGGGCGGCGACCTCGCGACGAAGCGCGCGGCGGCCTTCGTCGGAAAGGAAATTCAAGTGGAGGGTAAAAACGGCAGAAAGAAAAAAAAGAAAAAAAAGAAACGCAGGACCGGACGAAGCCGTTCAGTGGTGGCATCTGCGCAATCAATTTCCCCTGCAGGGCACTAACCGTGACACTCCCACAGTGACGGCCGCCAAAAGTCTTGTCGTGCACAAGCCAGACCGGCCATCACCTCTCGACCTATGTGAAAGCGATGGCTTTTATTTTACCCAGCAGAAGCTTCCACCACGAGGGTCCTGCTACGTCGAGACGTTTGGCCAAATTCCACCGATAGGTATTTGGCTTTGTGTGGGAGGAAACTAGGGAAAGCCGAACGGTACCCACGCACATAAGAAGAAATGACATTCAAAGTTCTGCACAGATTGAGTCAAGAAATGAATGTAAGTAATCAGCCAAGTCTACAACTTGTGATATTTCCAGGCAGCCTCAAATCCCAAGTATTTAACCAAGCTGAGCCCTGTGCCCATCTTCCGAGTTCTGGCAAAATTGGGCGGATTCAGGGTGATTTTCATAATAAAGGTTTTCGGGTTAGATCGGGTAAGTATAAATGTGTCGTAACCCTCCACCACCCGACACAGCCAGTAAAGTGCGTTGCGTAAACAACGCGCCAATTAGTTACTACTTCAGCCCACCGGTGTGTTGGAGAGTAAATCCACAACATTTACTGGATTTATTTGATCTAACCCAAAAACCTTTATTATGAATAACATTGGTCACAAAAGCCTGCGTGTTAAACGGGGTCATTTTGTTGTCGGCAAAATACTGAAGTCATTCAAAGCTAGTATATGTCTTGAGACAGGTGCCAATCCCTTTCGTGACGAGTGGATTGATAAAAAAATGTGCACGTGAGAAAGGGACCAGGCCACGTTACTGACCCACACCACCCTTTCACGCGTGCTGCTCAGACTTTTAATAGACGCTCACTAACAACACTAGCCTTGGCAGTCCACGGGGGAGCCTTGTTTTGTCCACGTAACATCACACACTAATAAAAACGGAACATTCCTGACACCGGAGAAAACGACGCAAACGTCACGGCTCTTCCGCTGGCCGCACAGCGACGATATCCTGCGAGAGGGAAGCCTCCGGAAATATTTTTTTTATTAAAAGAGAAAACCTGTTGCTGAGGCCCGGGGGCTCCCAACGTTGATTTTTTTCACCAGCCACGTGGGCCAAGGGGGCCTCATGAGGTCAGAGTGCTGAGCTGGCACCGCTGAGATCCTGAAGTTCCAATTTGGGTTTCTGCTGCCCATGATTTTAATTTATCTTTCGTTTGTTGTTGTCCTTGCCCCGCACCTATGATTGGCTTGGTTGGCTACGTACGGCGCGGAAGAAGTTCAACGCAGGTACGTATGTTAAAGCGCGTTCTCAAGCTTGGTGGAATTTATGGTCTCAGCCCTGGTCACCATTGACAGCACAAACACAAAAAAACTCCACTGTTATTAAATTTTGTTCAGCACGAATTTTGGCTAAATTCCAGCTCTGAGCATTTGAAAAAAACATCAGTTTGAATGTCATGTGACAAACGTTGCTGCCTGTAACAAGGCCGATTGAAAATTGCTGCCTTCTACGGTGTGGAGCAGAGGGCACTCTAAGGGTTCACGGAAGTAGCTCTATGATATCCACTTCTGGTGGTGTTCTACGACTGTCCGATTGCACGCACGATACGATAATAAATCCCACTGCCTGAAACCAACAATATCGTGGCCTTAAAAGGTAGCAGAGCAAAACTGTACTTGCCAAGCCTCGTACTTATTCAAACCATTTCACTGCACACCGGTTGCCTGGGTGGGCAAGCGTGGTAGAAAGATCGCTGATGTAGCTCTACAGGATTTGTTTTTCTCCAGATAATCAGGAAGTAAAAAAGTCACTCAATGAAAATTCGTCCATACTTACAGCGACTTAAACCAAACTAAATAATGTTTATTTTACCAGCTAAAAATCCATAGAGTTATATAGCTATTTTTCCTAAGTGTCCTGGCCAATAAGTGGCTTATCAAGTGGAAGTTTATAGCAGTAGTCAAATACTCTAAACGCTCGTTGATTCTTAAATGTGGAGGGAAAAAACCGGAGGACCTGGAGAAAAATCCACGCGACCACGTAGAGAGAAACAAGCAAACTCCAAACATACAGGCATCACTAGGGTTGGGATCGAACCCACGACCTCCTGCATACCAGGCGAGGTAGTTAACATCTCGACACCGTGGCGGCGAGCCCAGCGCCTTTCCGCCCCACACCGCCCCTCACTCACCGAGGGGGCAGGCCCGGCCGGCTGCCCTCCCGGGCGGGAAGGCTCTTCGTGCATTGCTCCCTCCTCCTCTTCCTCCTCCTCTTCTTCCTCCTCCAGTTCTTCCGTCCCCCTGCCCTCCTCCATCCGCTCGGCGTCCTCCTGCTGTGAACGAGATTGCGTTGGCGAGATGCGCCGGCCTGTGTGGAGGCGCGTGCACACTTGCACACTGACATGTGCGCACGTGTGCGTGCGCGCGCGCGTGTGTATAGGGGAGCGCGCTACACTACAAACCTGGCAACCCGGGTTCGACTCCCGCTCACAGCCAACACCAGTGACGATTATCTGAACCGGTCCTGGGCCTCCCTGAGGTCGACTCAGCCTCAAATGAGTACCCGGTGCAGTGTGTAGTAAACATCGCCACTGGGGAGACAAATGCGGCTGGGCGTGTTGCTGGCCACCCACCCCCTCGTGTGCCGTGCCGGCCTTCAATGGTGCTCGTTAACAGCACTTGCCCCAACAGTCTGTTAAGGCTATACGTGGGATCTTTGTCTTTTGTATGTGCATGTGTCCGTGCGTGCAAAATGTACGCGCCAAATCGCATCAGTGCCAAGAAGAACAATCCCTTTATTTATCCAGGAAAGCCTCACCGAGTCTCCAGACTCTTCTTAGGAGGGTCCTTCAGAGGCATGTTCAGCCAATTCCATTCACAAGTGTTTGGCTTGTGAGAGAAAACCAGAGGCCCCAGAGAGAACTGACGCATATGCCCGTTGTGATAACACTCGAAGCTCCACACAGATGGATTATAGAATCCATTGCTGTGCTGCCTTCTCCTGACCACCTCGTTAATCTAGCTTACAATACCTACTGTTCCCAGGCGGTCTCCCATCCGAGTGCTAACCAGGCCCAAACCTACTTAGCCTCCGAGATCGCAACAAGATCGGGCGGTTTGGGGTGCGAGAATGGGAGGGGGGGGGGATTAGGAGGGAGGTTTGGGAGGGTTGGGAGGGTGGGTTGGGAGGGAGCGAGGGACGGAGGAGGGAGGGAGGGAGGGAGGGAGGGAGGGAGGGAGGGAGGGAGGGAGGGAGGGAGGGAGGGAGGGAGGGAGGGAGGGAGGGAGGGAGGGAGGGAGGGAGGGAGGGAGGGAGGGAGGGAGGGAGGGAGGGAGGGAGGGAGGGAGCGTGGGTCCAGGGCCCGCGGAGGAATTAGGAATTACGCGTCGTTACGCAGCCGGGCAAGGAACGACGAGGCCCCTTTAACGAGGGCTCGGCATCCTCTTAACGAGATGCAAATCCGGGCTAATTGCATGCCCCTTGGCAAAATTACGCCGCCATTAAGCGCAATGCAATCAAACCTCTTTACGGTAACCGCTTTACTTTTTTTTTACCAAGACAATGACAAATCAAAACAGATTTTTTTTTTGCTCGCTTACGTGGGAGCGGTGAGCTCATCTCAATTATCAATAGCTGAATGTCACACTCCTGCCATTGACACTTCCCTCTTGCAGCGGCGCCTTGTGGGGTGGAGCGGGCGAGCGGGAGGCGAGGGTGTGAGGTGTGTTCGTTAGTTACCACGGCAACGGTCGCGTACCTGCCGCGAGTCGTCTGTCTCCGCGCAGTCGGGCTGCTCGGCGCTGTTCCCACTGCACGCGCGCGTGAACAAAGACAAGGGGCACCCGTATAGCCTCATCAGACTGTTGGGGCGAGCGCAAGGGCATATGAAGGCTGGCACAGCGGCTGAATGGGTGGTGTGGCCAGCACCGTGCCCAGCCGCCTTAGTCTCCCCACTGCTGATGCTTGCACACCATACCAGTTACTCATTTAAGGTTGAATCGACCTCGGAGAAGGCCAAGAACCAGCTCAGACCTGTACATACAAACACGTGCACGCACCAACACATGTACGTACATGTGCACACACACACACACAAAAATGCACGCACGGAATATGCACACGCAGGCAAGAATGCAGGCATGCACCATTAACAAAACAATGTTTGACTCGTTAATTCGTTAGTTTTTTTTTCTTCTTACATCTCAATTGTGCAAGCAGCCTCTAGAAACCAAGCAAAGGATTTTTCCACTGACTCCTGCATCTCCCTACGGGCAGAAGAGCTTTCACACCACGCTGAGCAATGTCCCCTACGCGACACCATCGGCCTCCGCTGGAAATCCGTTCAGGGGTCTGTTGTATTAGCTCCACCTCTGGAATGCACTCTGCACGTTGCAGACGGAGAAGGAAAAAGCGGTTGCTTCTCTCCGTGGCCGTCTGGCCGAGATGTTCTCCCGTTGCACGAACTCAACCAAATTCGACACGAAAACTAAAAATGATTACTGCTGCTCTTTTTTTTTGCCGTTATCGCTGGCGTGAGATGAGACCGCCCCTAATCGCTGAACACGAGGAACCCGGTCCTGGTTTAATCTCAAGAGGGCAGTCCAGGATTCGGGCTCAGATTCTCGACGCAGTCGGTGCAGTGAGCCCGACATGGGCATCGTTGGCGTGAGCGTCACTAGTCCACTGCGAGCCGCTCGTCATCGCAAGACGAGCCACGGCGGAAGCCACCGGGGTCGCACCTCTCTCCCCGCAGCTGGCCGGGTGTGGTCAAGGCTCGGTGCTGCATTCGGAAAGGGCCGGCCGCCGAGATTTGAACGGCCGCTTTGCTGAGGCAGCGTCGCTCGTCGGTGGGCGGTGGTGGGGGGGCATCTCCCAGCCAGCGCGACGACCAACGACACGACCTAACTTAACACGGCCCCGCTAATACGACCCCACCAACTTCATGATCCCCCGCCCGCCCGCCCCCCGCTACCTTCATCTCCTCCACCGGTTTCCCCCTGGACACCCGGAACGAAACGGTTCGTTCCGGCCCATAATCAGCGACACATGCTTGTCCCTGTCAGGGTGGCCGTGGGCCATGCAGGTGTGCGCCGAGATTTTTTAGATCGTTTTAAATTTCACGCGGCGGAGCCAGGGGGGGGGGGGGGGGGGAGGTGAAGCGGGGAGGCAGGAGCGGAGGGATTTTAGCGGTGTACGGGCAACGCCGTTCCCGCCCACCATCCAAGCATCCCACCCCACAATGCGCACCTCTGCACCCCCACCTCCCCTCCTCGCTCCTCTCCTCCTCCTTCTCCTCTTCCCACTGTCCCCCCCACCTCCGCCACAGCCCACACCCCCTCTCCCCACATGCCATCAACATCGCAGAGAAATAGGCACGAAAGCGAGCGCGCAGTGCGCTTCAGCGAGCAGAGGGGGGCCTCGGGGCTTTAGGCGCAGGCCACCATTAAGCAGAGGCCACGCAAGCGAAAATAACAGTTACTAAACAAAACGGCGTCTTGAAGAAATGCATTACGATGGCGAGGTCTGCCCTGCCACTCATTTACGGAACCCGCCTGTGTGCGGGGATGGGTGTGGGTGGGTGGGGGGCCCGAAAAAAACAACAAAAAAAACCACAACAACGGCCTGCAACCAACCCAACCGCAGCGCAGCAGCCGGGACGAGGGTTTCCCCAGTGGCTGCGGTGTCGCATGAGCGATAATATTTTATTTTCTTACCTGACGCCTACAAAAAAAAAAACAAAGAGCCACGGGCGCCCGGGCCCTTTACGACACGATTCTAGAAGCACTGCTGACGGCCGCGGTAGCGGCGTCGGCGTCGTATTAACCTACAGCGCTCGCCGCCCGCTCGCCCGCCCGTCAATCCGTACAGAAGTCCGTCCGCCTGTCTATCTGTCCGCCCGGTGGTGCGGCGGGTTTGTTCACCTCGACCGCAAACATACCCGGGAAAAATGCGGCATGGAACGCCTTGAAATTTGCAGGGTAAATTTCACATTGCCACAGGGTGCCAATGTGCAATTTATGGTAACGTATACAGTACTGTATTCAGGCTTATAAATTCTATAGTCCCGTACAGAACTGTAGCATTATTATTATTAAACACGGGCAAGTTTTATGCGATGAATTAATGATCTTCAGCGATTAATCATACATTCATTGCAGTATTGTTGTCATCATCTTTGCTGCTGCTGTGGCTGCTATCATTAGTTTTCATCGCCTTAATGATCAATAATTAGAAAAATGACAGCGGAATAATAATGCCATTACTATTAATGTACTGTTATTATTGTGGCTAATACTCTTATCACACTGTTACCATCATCACCATTAATATCGCCGTCTATTATTCTAGTAATAACTATTATAATTATCACTACGGTAATTAACTATGTCATTATCGTTGTTATTGTTACTGCATACATTTTATCCTACCCGTTATTGTCTAAACGTTGTCATCGCTCGAAGAGTTGCGTCTACCCATCGTCGTGTTGCTCTATGTCTGTGTTCCCACGCGTGGTATTTCTGTTGTCATTGCAGTTTGACGCGTAGGCTTTCGCGGCCAATATTATCCACAATATTGGTAATATTATCCATGATTTGGAGCTTTCGTGACTGCAGGAATTACTCTTTGGCTTTTTCAGTAAAGTCACGTAGAAAGAAAAAAGATAAATTAAATAAAAGCATACGACGTTTCGATTGCAACACAAGCAATCATCATCAGGTACAAATGAAAGAGAAAACAAACCATGTAAAACTTAGAAATGTAATGCAATACAACACAGAAAGTCGGCGAACACAACAGTCAACACCCTACTTATTTTTCTTTCTACGATGACTGTTATGTTAGCCGACTCTCTGTGTTGTATTGCATTACATTTATAAGTTTTACAAGGTTTTGTTTTCTCTTTCATTTGTACCTGATGATGATTGCTTGTGTTGCAATCGAAACGTCGTATGCTATTGTTAAATTCATATTTTTTATTTCTACGTGGCTTTACCGAAAGAAACCAAAGAGTCATATTATCAACGTTATCCATAATACCCAAACACCTCTATTATGTTGTCATTGCGTCGCTGTATCCCAATGTGTTGCCATCGCCGTGCGCCGTTGTGTTGACGCGTAATTCGATCGCCGTGTCCCATTGTGTCGCTGCCGTATTGCTGCGCCACCACTGTGTGCCGGAGTTTCTTTGCCATTGTGTCACTGCATCGTGCTTCCGTGGCGCTGCATCACACTGCTTTCGCATTTCGTCGCTGTGTCATCGCTGCACTGTGTTGCTGCCACTGGTGTTGTTGCCGCGCGTCTTTGCGTTGATGAGTGACCGCGTCTTGTTACCGTGTCAATGCGTGCTGTCGTGCTGCCGTGCGCTGTTCCTGACGTGTTGCTGCGTGCCGTCGCTCTGCTGTATGCTGCCGCGTTGCCATGTGCTGTTACTGTCGCGTTGCCGTGCGTTGTCACCGTCGCGTTGCCGTGCGTTGTCACCGTCGCGTTGCCGTGCGTCGTCACTGTAGCATTGACGTTGTCACTGTAGCGTTACTGTGCATTGTCACTGTAACGTTACTGTGCATTGTCACTGTAGCGTTACTGTGCATTGTCACTGTAACGTTACTGTGCATTGTCACTGTAGCGTTACCGTGCGTTGTCACTGTAGTGTTGCCGTGCATTGTCACTGTAGTGTTGCCGTACATTGTCACTGTAGCGTTACTGTGCGTTGTCACTGTAGTGTTACTGTGCGTTGTCACTGTAGTGTTACCGTGCGTTGTCACTGTAGTGTTACTGTGCGTTGTCACTGTAGTGTTACTGTGCATTGTCACTGTAACGTTACTGTGCATTGTCACTGTAGTGTTACTGTGCGTTGTCACTGTAGTGTTACTGTGAATTGTAACTGTAACGTTACTGTGCGTTGTCACTGTAGTGTTGCCGTGCGTTGTCACTGTAACGTTACTGTGCGTTGTCACTGTAGTGTTACCATGCGTTGTCACTGTAGCGTTACTGTGCGTTGTCACTGTAGTGTTGCCGTGCATTGTCACTGTAACGTTACTGTGCGTTGTCACTGTAACGTTACTGTGCGTTGTCACTGTAGCGTTACTGTGCATTGTCACTGTAGCGTTGCCGTGCATTGTCACTGTAGCGTTGCCGTGCATTGTCACTGTAGCGTTGCCGTGCACTGTCACTGTAACGTTACTGTGCGTTGTCACTGTAGTGTTGCCGTGCATTGTCACTGTAACGTTACTGTGCGTTGTCACTGTAGTGTTACTGTGCATTGTCACTGTAGCGTTACTGTGCGTTGTCACTGTAGTGTTGCCGTGCAGTGTAACTGTAGCGCTACTGTGCGTTGTCACTGTAGTGTTGCCGTGCATTGTCACTGTAACGTTACTGTGCGTTGTCACTGTAGTGTTACTGTGCATTGTCACTGTAGTGTTACTGTGCATTGTCACTGTAACGTTACTGTGCGTTGTCACTGTAGTGTTACCGTGCATTGTCACGAGTGTTGCCGTGCATTGTCACTGTAGCGTTGCCATGCGTTGTCACTGTACCATTCACGTGCGTTGTCACTATCGCGTTGCCATGCATTACTCACTTGACGGCGACACGATCCAAGCGCTTGCTCTTCAGTGCCGCCACCTCGTCCCGTGTCCTCTCCACGGCTGTGCCGAGCCATCGAACACAAACGAACAAAGCACACGTCAAAAACACGTGACGGTATTGCACACTATGTGCTCTCAAAGCTAAAAATTATGATGAAAGGCGATGAAGGCAATCATCATTTATTTAAATCAGGTTAGAGCTTGCCGAACCAAATAGAAATCCATTTTGTAAGAGAAGCGACACTTGGCAAAAACATAAAAAGTGCGTGCAGGTTGCAAACAAAGGCACAGGGGTAGCAGCAGCGGGGAGCAATGGCTCCGCTATGGTGATGATTCCTTTTAAGGATGATACCGGTAAAAAGCTGTCTCATCATACTACTGATGCCTAAAAATAGCGTGGCCATAATTTTTTTTATCTTGGACTTAAAAAAAGGCTGTGCGGATTCTACACGTGGGACGGTGAGGTCATGCGGAATGCAAGGCATGATGGGAGGACTGGGCCAGGCCTATGGTTGCTATACATTTCCACATGATATGCCACTTCGTTGAGCTATCGTTTGTTGCCAGGTCGTTTCTGAAAAATAACTAAGAGCTCAGCGGGCCTTACCTGGTAAAAATAGAAATAGTTTAGTTTCCGACGCTCACCTGCGTGGAGGTCCTGAACCCGGCGTTCCGCGTCTGCCACCTTGGCCGAAAGCTCAACCTGAGAGTCTCGCAGTTTTCTGCGCGAAAATCAAAAATGGAAACATCGAGGAGTTACGAAAACTGCCGTGGGTGCCAAGAGCGAAGAATGAATAATGAAACGAGCCTCCCCTGCGATGATTCGGCATCCATCAATAAATTGGTTCCGTCCGCCGTGAAAAGGTCTTTTTGCGTGTAAAAGAAAAAACACTAAAAGACTTGCACGCGTCCACAAAACTTCTCCGGATCTACAAAATCAACAAAAGGGTCATTTCAGACGATTCAAGGACAGCGTTGGAGGAACGTGGGAGTCTGAGAGAGATGTACACGCACACACATATGGCCCAGAACCGCTTCTGATAACGCTGCTAGCCCTGGTTGGGAATCAAACTCGGGTAGCAAGATTCATAATGCGGTATGCTAACTACCGCATCACCACTCTCAAAATTGCATACAAAAAGACAAGGATCCCCTGTATAGCCTTTAATAGACCGTTGCAACAATTGCTGTTAGCGAACACCTATGAAAGGGGTGGGTGGCCAACAGAATACCCGGCCACCTTTGTCTTCCCAGTACTGATGTTTACACATGGTCACAAGGTACTGATCTATAGCCAATTTGACCCGAGGTTCGGCCCAGGTCAATGACAGGGAAGTGAACCGAGGTCGCCGGGTAGGAGGGCAGTGTGTAAACCAATCCACCTGCTTTGTCCGCACGATGTACGTGGCAGATTCGTTCTCGCTCGGAATTAAGGGCCGTGCTGCTCGGTGTGGCCTCTCCATCACCTTCCCCTCCCATCATCATCATCATCATCGTCGTCGATTCCTCTAATCCTCTTCTTCTCTCCTTCCTTACCCTTCCACCATTATCTCATCATCTATCCCTCTACCTTCTACTCCAACCCCCGCACCGTTCGCTGTGCTCATCCTGCCGCTGGTGGTCGGCCTCCCTCTCCAGGGCGTCGCGCAGGACTTGGCTCTCGGCCTCCACGTCTTGCAGCCGCTCCAGCGTCTCCTCCAGGCGCTCCAGCTGCACCGCGGGGTCTGCTTGTGGCGGCACGCGGCGCCACAAAGACACGCGCACACGCGTACAGACACACGTAGTTTAGTTTGCTGTCCTCCAATTAGCACGGTTGGCGACGTACGGTGCAAAAGGCGTTCAACATACATACAAACACATCTGCGCATACGTACACACACACACACGTGCCCACACGTACAAATGCACGCGTGCACGTACAGACACATACGTACAGACACATACGCCTGCATGTACACACACGTGCATGCACGTACACACACAGACACGTACTGACACACGCGTGCACACACGTACAGACGCATGCGCGCACGCACGCACATACACACACACACAGCGGGGATGTAGTCTTCAACGTGTGAGTGAGCACTCCTACGTGAACAACATCAGGATTTAACGGGCTCAAGCATCGACGCGTCGATTCATCGACTGTAGCGCTCGCGATACGCCCGTCAGCCACCGAGCTCCGAAGCAGTTGCGTAATGCATCCCTATTCCTGTCTCAGCCTCTCTGTGCTTATTTGTGCACCCTTAAGCTTCCGTTTCATATTCTTCGTCAGCGTCCGTGATTCTTATCCATATGTTATAGCAGGCAAACATATACACAATAGCCACTTCCATAGCCTCAGGGAGACCATCTCTAGCCCCGCCCTCTTACCCTGAGGCTGCACCCATCTCAGGCCTATATAAGACCTTGTTTGAGTAGCTTTCTCTCTCTCTCACTTTACCGAAAGAACCAAAGAGGATGGATTCCTGCAATCACGAAAGCTTCAAATCAATATATACACCGATTCAAACGTGTTTTTTTTTTCCCTTTGACACACTCAAAATGTTGCCCTTGATTATTAAGTTCGGTTTTCCAGCGGCGCTTTCAACCTGCTGTCTCGCTCTTTATGCCATCAATCTGATCTTTACCTGGTTATAAACAACGGCGTTCAATCTGCTTAATTACCTAACACCGCTGGCAGCCCGTGCCACCACATTTCTAGCCTGGGTAGGCTGCTACTGGGGCCAAGCGCCGTTGGCGAGCACCTATTAAGGTCGTGGGGAGGTGGAGCCACATTCATTGCTCGGGCATTGAAGAAAGGGCAGTCCCAGAGAGACCTCGCCCAAGTCAAAGCCAGGTGAGGGTCCAGGGCTGCTTCAACTCGTAGTTGTGGGGATGCGGCCAAGAATTAGATCCGGGTTGTGGAATCGAGTGCAGTTTCACGAACCAAAATTGCATTTCAATTCGAACCTGGGTTCACGTCGAAATCCAGTGAAACCACATCTTCTCGACGGCGTACATGATGGGGGGGGGGGGGGGGGTTGGTATAAAAAAAAATACTCTGTTTACAGAATTATTCCGGAGTGCTGTACACACAGACAAGGGGGCCAAACACTGCGACTGTTACTCGAACAGAACGTGCCACCTGATGAAAACTCAAATACGTGTCGGGATCAGTTCCATTTTTAAAGCACGTACCGATACTTGCTGTTTGTATCGCGGCGTATTTAACCATGATTGTAGCTAAGGTCTGTGCTCTATAACGTCTGTACCATCGCATTCCTGCTACGGTAAATAAAATCTACCTACACCCTGAGCGTTTGCAGTTAGGGGAAAATAAGTGCGGAATTAAACCAAGAACACACAGTCAGGTATGCGGTTCTAGAATTGCTTTGTGTTTAGTTTGTTGTCCTTCCCCCGCACCTCGATTTGCGCGTTTGGCATACGTATGGTGCGAAAGATGTTCAACATACACGCATACATGACACGCACGCCCACTGCGTACGGTCACAGGACGGACCCCGCCACGGATGGCCAAAGATGCCAAGCGTAAACAAATAACGAAGAAAAAAAATGCGTTTTAGACCTCGTGTTGTGTTAAACCCGGTTTCCGTAGTTGATCACCAACACGTCCCGATGATGCGAAACGATCGCGCGTGTCGGTGACCGATGCGGAGAGGAGCGGCGCGCCGAACAAATCGTGGCATCGCGCGGTTCCCGGCCACACGGCGGCACCTGCGATTAGCACAGTTGGCTACGCACGGTGCGAAATAAGTTCAACGTACAGTACACACACACGAAGATGAGTCACACGGGGATGAAGACAAAAAGAAGAGCGAGCAAAATAAAAGCAAAACAAAAAAGCATTCAGGGTTAAAAATACAAAAACAACAAAAAAGCACGCATGGCAACAAGCAGCAGGAGCGGGCGCGAACGAGGGGAATGAAAATTCCATCGGCGCGGCGGGGAAACGCGTGAACCTGTGACCCCCCCTACCCCCCCAGTGCGTGCGTTTGGGTCCAGCGAGGTGCAAGAGCGGTTGAGGACAGCCTCTGGTTATTCATTAATGTACGTATTTATTTACTTATTACTGAGCGCTTTGTTGATGGTTGTGCTGCTTTTGAAGTACTGGATCTAGAGCAGCATCGTGCATGAATGAATACAAACCGCTAAGAATCCCGAAGCTGCTGTCATCTGGCTCGCCGTGCGTTGAGCACAACAACAAAATTACAATAATTATTACCGAACGTAAAGTGGGCACGCTATTCGCAAATGTGTTGGTCATCTACCTGTGATAATCTGGCACTTGAGGGGGGGTTGTACACCGGTGTGTGTTGAGCAATTCAGTTCTTATTTCCCCTATTCCTACCCTCGTCGTCACTATAATCATCAACAACAGCATCGCCATTCCTTGGGCCACACAATAGCGAGATTAATCACGAACGAAAAAGAAAAACTAATTTCTACTTACTACGGGGGCTCAACGTCCCCCGTCGCGGAAGTTTCGTGCTCCTTGTGTACAACGTCTTGCCGACGAGACCCAGCAGTGTCGAAGCTGGCACCAGCATTTTGCCGGCGTGAAAAACGAACGACTGCTGCAAAGCACTAGTCGAGAAAGAGAGAGCCCACAGAGCTACGAGACCAAAATAAAATATATTTTACGCGGTGCGACAGACTTCTTGCTTGTCCAGTATTTATCCACTGCACGCGATCCTACACCGCCGTGCACGACGAGCTTCACACGGCTCAAATTATGAGCGGACCAACTTATTTAGCATGACGGGGGCCCCACAATGAGATAATTTTGCCGAGTCCCACGCGCCCAGCAAGCAAATGGACAAATTACAGGGGAAGCGACGACAATACTTTTAGAACGAGGCCCTGGGCACCAGCCCACTTAGCCCAGGAGATAGCCTTGCTCTCTTCTAGCCCCCCCCCCCCGGAGGAGCGAGAGCTAGAGAGAGCGGTTCCGGCCCGACATTTGTCTCGAGACACCGCTCGTTTCGGTACCCCTGAGGAGTGGGTGTTTTCAAGGTGGGCCCCAGGGAGGCTTCATGCAAGACGTCCCTGTGGACCTCATCAGGACGGGCTGCCTCACAAAATTAACTTTATTATTAGCGATAGTTTGTCTACTCTCCGCGTCTTGCTCTGCTGCACACCGGCCCGCAACTCTCCCGTGGTTTTGCAAATGGGGGGAGGGGGGGATGAGTGGGGACGGGATAAGCTCGAGGACATAATCTTAATGACCACCGCCACCACCACAACGCTCGTCGTAGCAATCGCGATCGCCATTACCTTCATAACCATCATCGCACCGCAAATGTCCCGAGTCATCGTCATGGCCACTGCCTAATAACCATTACCGTCACGGTCACTGTGACCTTGTGAGTCCAACTCTGGCGGTGACTAATTCTCGCTCCAGTGATCTTCTTCACACATCCAGGAAAGCTTTTGCTTCCTGAATGCGTGCACGGGTATCTGCGTGCGATTGACGGGAGCGGTAGTTGCGGCGGTTAGTGCGGTGGGCTACAAACCTGGCGACCCGAGTTCGAGTCCTGCTCACAGCCAACACCAGTGGCGACTCAGCCTCAAATGAGTACCTGGTGCTTTGCATAAACATCGTCACCGGGGAGACAAAGGTGGCCGTGCATGGTGCTGACCACCCACCCCCTCGTGTGCCATGCCGACCCGACCTTTATGGGTGCTACTCGCTAACAGCACTTGCCCCCAACAGTCTGTTAAGGCTATACGGGGGATATTTGTCTTTTTAATACGTACTGCTCGGAACCCATATTGTCTTTGTGCCTTCGAGTGCCTCTCTGCTCCTCCGATCGTCTGCCCCCTGGCCGCCCGTGCCCGTCCGCGCATGTGGGTTTCAGGGTTCACGTTAACGGTCCGCAAAAAATAGCCGGGGCTTTCCCTGGAACCCGGGGCGACCAGGGTTCAACAGGGCGACTAGGGTTCAATTTCGCGGCCAGGGAAAGTCAAAATGCGAATCGCGGGGAATCTGGCTACATGCCCTTGCGGTGGTCTCGTCCGAAGACGGCAAAAAAAAAAACCCAGCAGTGCCACGTTTACGCGACGGAAAACTGGGTCGGGAGCGGGTGCTGTGGACGCGGGCCCCCCATTCAGTCTGTAAGCCTCATCAGCCAAGCCCTGGTGCTCGCTAAGAGCACAGCTGCCACGGCAGCATTATCCTTGACGCGTTTGCGGACACCGTTGCGTATGAGCGCACGTACGCATATGTAGGTTGAACTTCTTTCGCACCGCACGTATACGTGGGTTGAACGTCTTTCACACTGTACATAGCCAACCGTGCTAATCGGAGGGTGCGTTATGCGGTGAGAGAGAGAGAGACAGCGGCGGCGACGCTACTTGGAAGGGTTCATCGCGCGCGACCTTACAACCCCAACAACATGGGTGCGATACCCCCGTCACCAATTATAACAGCATCAGTTGTGTCCGAACCTGTAAGGGGGCCTTTATCAAGGTCGATACAAAGAGTTAAATGAGTAACGGCGTGGTGTCGCCGTGCGTGCTCTCGTACGAATGTCGGTGCCGGGGAGACAAAGGCGGCCGGGCGTGGTGCTGGCCACCCCACCCCCTCGTGCGCCGTGCCGACCTTCGTAGACGCTCCTAGCTAACAGCAACAGTCTGTTAAATGCTATACCATTATATGTAAATCTCATTATATAACTGTGTAACGAAAAAAAAATTTGGTTCCTGGGTAGTGTTATTTTCT